CTGAAACCTTCTCTCTGGTTTTGGCTCCCTCCTCTTTGCCCCCTTCACTAAGGACAGATTGTTCTGTTTTTTGTTGCAGAGAGCTGCAGAGTGTTCTTCTTCTATTCTTCCTTACTTGCCCCAATTTGCAGTTATTAAGGACAGCTTTTCAGCATCAAAAGGTATTTGATCCCACTAAATGCTGGGCCCATTTAACTGTTTTCTTCTGTGGACAAAATAAAGAGAGGGTTGAGTACAGAAGTTTCTCATGCATGTTAGACTTCTATTGCATTGTTTCTCTGTGGTTGACAGAAAATTGCCAATATTTTTGAGAAATGTAATAGAATAAAAAAAAAAAAACTAACTCCTGCAACATTGTTTTTTCTGCTTGGCCTGAAATATTTAAAACCTTCAAGTTTCATTATTTCAAGGCACGGGATAAAAATAAGCAATTTTTAGTAAACATTAATTGCTGAACTTCTTAGAAAGCTGAAGTATCTAGTGTTTTAATTTTCCGTTCTCCAGCTGAGAGCAGATTTGTGGGAGATTTTCAAGAAAAATAAAAATTCTAAACAACTACCTCCACTTCTGGAATGCTCCTAGTCTCAAATCACCTTCAAAAACTTGTCGAGTGACACATGCCTTTAGCAGGTGACATAGTGTTAAAAAAATAAGATCTGTTTTTGCTGCACCAGAGTGAAGTGAGAAGGCAAGTAAAGGTAAAGGTTAGGAATGCTGCACATGTGTAGCCAAGCAGATCAATCCATTGTGCAGGCGCTGCTGGCAGTGTGCACTCCTCGGCCTGGAAAGGCTCCTTAGCCCAGAGGGATGAACTGAGGGTCAGCACTGTGGGGTCAGACCCACGTGGAGGGACTGGGCTGCATCTCTGTTACCAGCAGAGATGTGGGGACTGTGGGGACCAGACCACACAGGCGGGTGGGTGGTGACCCCCCTCTTTGGAATTAGTTCGGTAGCATGAGCACAGTCTGCATGTGACAGCTGGTCTTTGCTCTGGAAAGCAGTTAATTTCAGCTGGATAACTAAAACCCATACAGGGACAGAGTGTTTCTGAATATAAAAGCATTTTATTTGGAGTCAGAGTTCAGGTGGATTTGCTTCAGGTGGATTTGGTTCACGTGATCTGTAAGGTCCCTTCCAACACAAACCATCCTATGTTTTTGTGACTTAATTGGATTATATCTTGATTTAAAATCAGAATACTTTTCCCTTTACAATGTACTTACCACGAGGGTTTCTTTTTTAGTGTATATGAAACTTTCTTAATTTTAATGGCAGGAAAAAAACCTGAAGATTTATCCTGTAAAATTAGTCTTCTTTGGTGTATAGTGTTCTGAGAGTTCATGCTTGCTACTTTTTTTAACCAACTAATTTAGTTGTGTTGAACACTAACAACCATGTCGATTTCCTACCAAAGACAAGCAGATGTGTTCCCTTCTCACAGCTGGGGAGCTTCTCCACAATGAAGGTCACAGGCGGCACATTAATAAACAGTGCTATCACATGAAAACTAAATATAGCAAAACACTCAATGCCTCTTTTTTTTGAGACACTTCTTATAATGCTTCTAAGGCATTTCTTATACCTTCCCTCCTGCCTAAATTCAACATGAAATCTGAACTTTTGGAAACTTGAGTTGACAAGTTCTCAATCTCCGTCACGAATTTGTAGATCATGTTAGACCTCATAGCATGTTTTTCTTAGTAGATTCTGTCCACTGCTGAACCACAAACTCAGCAGACAGTTCAGGGTGTTCAGGCAAAACCAAAAATCAAACACGTATGTATTCAGAGCTAGTTAGAAAATGGTGAGGAAAAATTCCAGAGTTCTGATGAAATATCTGTCTCCTTTATGATAAATTCTGAATTCACTGAACTCTGCTTACAGCTTTGTACACAGTAATGGAGCAGGTACAATAAAATAAGCTTCATCACAGCCTGATGCAATCTGAGACACCTGAAAGCATATTAATAATTTTTCAAACTGGTAACTCATTAACCAGCTCAGACATGGCACAGTCCAGTTTTCAGAGGGGCATGTGGAAGGGGGATTAACATCCATGTGTGTCTGTATATGCCTTGGCTCACTGGCAGAGGGCAGAAAAGGCAGCAGAAGGCTGCTGAGTATCCACATGTTAAGTTCACTTATTTCTTTGCTTTCAAGAGCCCATCCTTCTTGTTCTAATCTACATGCACCCTTTTGAAAGTGTGATGGTTTAAAGGTAAACCAGCAGGGGAAATGAACTCAACCCAAAAGAGAGATTCTAAGTCAGAATAACAATTTAATAAAATAATACAATAAGTACAATTATACAGACAAACAATTGGTTTTAACCCACAAAACCCAAATATATAGCCCAGCACCCTGGGGCATGAACAGAGTGGTGTTCTTTGGGCTCCCTGAGTCCAAAGGAAAAGGTGAGGGGAAAACCTGTTGTTGAGAGTGCTGTTGCAGTCTGGTCAAAAGTGGTGATTGCAGTCCAGTTGAGGGTGGTGGTCTCAGTCTGGTTGAGAGCGGTGAGCTGCAGTCTTCCTCTGGATCCCACAAGTGGTAAAAAGGTTCCAAAACTCCAAGTTTATATATTCTCCAGTTCAGGCAGGAATGCTCAGTCCTTCCCTCAGAGCAGGGAATTCCGTAAAAGGGTATGAGGATGCTCAGTCCTTCCCTCAGAGCGGGGAATTCCATAAAAGGGTATGAGGACAGGAACATCTTCCTATCTTGCAGGCCTCTACTGCTAACAATTTCTGGGAAATGGCATGGAAGGCTATAGAATACACAGTTTTGGGTTACACTCATACCATGATGAACTGGTCGCAGCTGTCCTAACTAGGACAGAAAGTCAATGCAAATTCTGCATCTGAGGAATTTCTTTACTGAAGTGGAATGCTGAATTTCAAGGACTGACTTGTTCAATGGAAACCATTTCTCCAGGCCCCAGTGCCTCTGCAAAGTGTGTGGGCAGGCAGCAGGAGCTGCTCTTCCCATGCCAACAGCCCAAATAATGTTTCTAGGCCCTTATCTCTTCTCTATTCCCAGGAGGTCTCTGAAGATCAATTCCCAAAACAAAGCTAGTAGATGGAGGGATTTAACATTTTCACAAGGTCAGTATTTCTGAATCAGTAAATGATCAAATAAACATTGTTTCCTGCTTGTGCATTAATGTGCCATCAGCTGCCAGATTAGAGATATAAAAGCATATTTTAAGTCTTGCACAAGCTTCGGTTTAGTACCAGGAAGTACCTGTCGATGAAAGATAAGCAGCCTGCCAGGGTGCAAGTGGTACTACTCTAGCAATTGCTTGAAACAATTTTCTGCTTTTGCCAGGAAACAATGCACTTTTTCATTCTTGCTTAGTGTTTTATCCATGGCCAGAACTGGGCTTTGCCTCTATTTTACAGAATCACAGAATCAACTAGGTTGGAAAAGACCTCTGAAATCATCAAGTCCAACTTTTGACCTTGTCAACTAGACCATGGCACTAACTGCCACATCCAATCTCTTCTTAAATACTCCAGGGGTGGTGAATCCACCACCTCCCTGGGCAGCCCATTCCAATCACTCTCTCTGTAAAGAATTTCTTTCTAATGTCTAACCTAAACCTCCCGTGGCACAGCTTAAGACTGTGTCCTCTTGTGCTACTACTGGTTGCCTGGGAGAAGAGACCAATCCCCACCTGGCTACAACATCCTTTCAGGTAGTTGTAGAGAGTGATGAGGTCTCCCCTGAGCCTCCTCTTCTCCAGGCTAAACAACTCCAGCTCCCTCAGCCTCTCCTTATAGGACCTGTGCTTGAGTCCCTTCACCAGCCTCATTGCTCTTCTCTGGACCTGCTCCAGCACCTCGATGTCCTTCCTGAACTCAGGGGCCCAGAACCAGACACAGTACTTGAGGTGTGGCCTCACCAGCACTGAGTACAGGGGAAGAATCACTTCCTTGGACCTGCTGGCCACGCTGTTCCTGATCTAGGCCAGGATGCCATTGGCCTTCTTGGCCACCTGGGCACACTGCTGGCTCACGTTCAGCTTCCTGTCAATCCAAACTCCCAGCTCCCTTTCTGCCTGGCTGCTCTCCAGCCACTCTGTGCTCAGTCTGTGAGGCTGCAGGGGTTTGTTGTGGCCAAGTGCAGGACCCAGCACTTGGCCTTGTTAAACATCATACCACTGGATTCAGCCCATCTATCCAGCCTGTCCAGGTCCCTCTGCAGAACCCTCCTACCCTCCAGCACATTTTCCATCTGCTCTTACACTAACTTGTAGGTGCTGCTATTGCCATCAGCTTTGGTCCTCTGTGTTTATCTTGCTGCTGCCCGACAGGACATGACACAGGCTATTTCTTACACCTAAGGAGTCTATCAACATCCTGATTCCTTACCAAGTGTTACATTACCTCACTAACAATGTTTGTGACCTTCTGTAGACAGAGTTGCTAATAGCTGTGTCTAGGCAGAGAACAATTTTTCCTCATCATGTGGGTGTTTAACCTTTTCAGTTTTCTTCTTGCTGCAAATGAACACAAGCCCAGTGTTTCCCCAGAGGTTCTAACCACCAGTGGGTCTACAAAGTGGCAATTAATCAGCAGGAAAAATATATACGCTGGCGAGTTGTTTTTTGTGAAATACAGTAGACAGTCTTTTACTTAAATTCTCCTATTAGGTTTTGAGTGCAAGATTGCACCAGCGAGTTTTTTTCAACCCTGTCAACTATGAAGGTAGGAAACATGTTCTCAAAACATAGCAGAGGCCAGCATGGCAACGCAGCGCCTTCCCACAATCACACCCGGCCTTCTATCTCAGTGCGGGGGTGGCACGAGGTGTTTCCTACTCTCCCACATCCCCCTCTGCCCCTACATGGGCAGAGATGAGAAATGGGGCATTATTTTTAAAATAGATAAAACAAAACGAGTCTCAAAGGCCCACAGCAATTGTACAGGGAAGTAGTATAATTGCAGATTGGGCCACTGCAGCCTCCAGTGTCACCTTGGAGATTACCTGGTAAACTCCAGGCCTCCCAAAAAGGGGGGGCCAAGGCAGCCGGGTGTGTAAACAAGTAGAACGAGATCTATAAGTAAGCTTTGCAGGGAGGCCGCAGAGAGGCAGGTGGGGCACTACACCATCCCGGTGCTCTGAACACCTCCACAGTCCTTGGTGAAAACCTCGCGTTCAGGATAACATTGCAGGTAGAGGATTTTTTTTTTTCTCCTGTTTGTTACCTTGCAATAAATTTCTCCAATCAACCAAAAGCAGGTTTCTAAAATATATATAATTATATATATTAAAATTATGTATTATTATATATAATTTTATAGTAGAATATATCTTAATATTGTGTGATTTATATTTTATTAAAATTATATATTTTAATATATCATTGTATATTCATATATATATGCTATCTATCTATCTATCTATCTATCTATCTATCTATTTGCAAAATAGCAAGAGCAGTAATGTTAACCTGCCAGAAGGCTGGGGATGATGAAGTGAGAGATGGGAAGCTGCTACAGGGTAGCTCAAGTGGGGGTGGTAAGCCAGATTTTTAAAGAGGTGTTTAGATGGTTGTCAAATACTCCTGTAGTTTTCATGCTCTTAATAACTTAATGGAATTATAAGGAGTAAACCAAATATGTGCAATTGGTTTAGGCCACTTAATCTAGTCTCAGATCGTAAGAGCTTGTACATTGGGGTAGGTGGTGTGCTACTAGTGTCTTTGGCCAGGACAGGGGTTTTCTGGAGGCTCGGGTAATCCAGAGGCAAGTATGCGGACTCTGCCTGTCATGCTGCAGCGTTTTCCAGGATTTCATAGGAGGCTTTTGGGCTCAGCTGAGGGATAACATTTAAACAAATGATGCAGGGCTTAGACTGAATCTGACTCTTTCCAGGTTTAATCCTCTGGCACGGAGGAATGTAAAAGGACCTGGTTGCTGAATGGCCCAAGGTTTTGCTGGAAAAACTCAACCCAAAATTTAAGGGTTTGCATTTGTTCAGAATACATGCAATAATTTCTGTTTAGCATGCGCAACACAACATTGCCCATAGAAACAAACAATGATGACAATGTGTGCTATTGTAATTGCTCATAGCCCAGGCTGTTAAGCAAAACAAAACTCTCTAGCATTCAAAATTAAAATAAACACTGCTGATTAATTTTACTGAGGGAGACGTCTGATAATCTTGGGTAAGATATAAGAATTAAAACCATGCACAATTATGGTTATGAGCTGTTCTTATTTTATTAATGTGTTTAATATGTAATACATTTGTACGGTGTACAGAGAATTGTTATATTTAGCAAACCCTGATTGCATCTTTAATTACTTCACATTATCCAAAAAGGGGCAAAAGCAAAATGAGAGGAAAGAGCATGTGATTCCTCCTTCCTTGCACTGATCTGGAATCTGTTTTTTTCAATATGGCCTAAGAAGGGTTTATCTCTAGCTTAAACCAGCAGCCAACAGAAATAGGGAAGTGGCAAAAGTGTTTCTGTGGACCAGGCTTGTGTGCCGCAGGGTTTGTATTTAACTGGTTTTCTGTATTTACTGGATGTGTAGAAAGGCTTCTCAAACAGATACCGCTGTGTGACACAGAAAGCCAGGTCATATTTAAGGTGCTTTAAGGTAAAGTGTAAATGCAATTACTTTGCAAACAGACTTTAATTGCTGAGTTTTGTATAGCATTTGTTGGTATAGTTTGTATATGGTTTATATAGTGTTGTTGGTGGTTATTTTGTTACTGAACATTATAGAGAATGCAGATTTGCAAAGAGCAGCAGAAATATTTATTATTAGTGTTTCTAACCATGATACGCGGGGGGAGGGAAGTGGGAATACCTCTACCTATGGCATTAGTGATATTATTGGAGTGCTCTGACCCACTTCAGAAGGAGCACTGCAAAAAAAATTTGAATAGTTCAAGCATAATTGCAGAATTATCTGACATCTGGAAATTCATTTTGTATCAGGAAACCTGAGCTCTGCCTAATTATTTAGCCAAAATGGATTTAAAAGGGACCTTGCATCTGGACAAATTTTTAATAGGTAACTCTTTAGCCTTGTAAAAAAAAGTAAAGCAGCAGCTAATGATGGGAGAAATTCACTAGAAACAAAAAACACCTTTTAAAAGGAAAATGGTTCAATACTAGAGCAACTTGGCCTGGAGATGGTGAGTTCTCAGCCAGAAATGCTTGTAGATGTAGAAGCAAACTTTTTGTTTATTGCAGAGATAACAGAGGATTGGCCAGTTTCAGTGCCTTTTATTGTGGCACAGGAGATCATAATAGATATCAAATCAGATTATCCCTCCCTAGTCTCAATTCATGAATCTTCCTGCAATGATTGTTTGCAGTATGCTGGAAATGGTTCCGCTGAACCCGAGGCAATGAAATGTTACACTTTTTTCATGGTGTGTGTTTGTGTAGATTTTTGCAGTGTGCAGTGGAGACAAATTATGTCCTCATATAAATACATAACATAGTGTGGAGGCATACTGCACAGTGCTATGCATGCATTATGCGCTCTGTGTATTGAAGTATAGTTGTTATATATTATATATAAGCTATAATGGATAATTATATAATGGAGATATAGTTTGCACTGTGTTTATGTAACCTCACTGTATTTTATATTCTTTCCAGCTAAAAATTTCCCCTTAAGGACAGGTCATTGTTTACAGAAAACATTTTTGGCTGCTGATCTCATGCAGCTGTAAGGTCTTTCTGGTCACTGGTTAATGAGTTCCCAGAAGAACTTTGCTTGTTCTGTCTAAACCAAAGGCCAAAATGGTCTCTATTCTACCTCTCTAGACTTCTACAATCATCTATTACTGAAACCAACTGGGGTGTACAAAACCATTTTATTTTTCTGTTTTTCCAAGCTCAACTGGAGTCATCTGAAGGGTTATAAAATCCAGCATATGTGACATGTGCAGCAGCCATAGCCAATGCTCTGCAGACAGGAGCAGAGTAGTTAGGATGAAACAGTTTGATTCCATGTTTCTCATAAGTTTTCTCTGACTATTTCAATTCACACTTCTGTACATGCGATGACAATGGGATTGGAAGTGCCACGTACACTAATGCCTCACAGGGCTGCCCATCTTCATCTCCTCATCGCAGCACTGCCTCAGCAAGTGGCAGTCTTGGCCCTGAGCATGTGCCCAGGGGCCAGGATTTCGTGTGGTCCTAAAATATTGGTTATGGGCATGGACAGCCCTGGGTTTTTTTAGCACTAGGCAAAAATAGTGCCTGTGGGAGAAGGGGTGACCCTCTGCCAGCCTGGGCATGCTCCTCTTGGTGGTGCTATTGCAACACTGCAGATTTCACAGGCTGGTTTTCTCCCTTTATTCCTCTGAGGGAAGCTGGAAGGCTTGTGTGACTTGGCAGAGTCTGAAGTCCTGAGGTTCTAAATGCTGTGCAAGTTTAAGGTGCTAATTTATTCTGCAGTTGTGTTAAAGAAGTAGGAGGTGTCATCTGCAGGTGATTGCTGTTGCTCAGACATGCCATGGGAGAAAGCTCTGCTCTGGAGAATTTGGGACTTAGTGGAACAAAAGCAAATCTAAGGCAAAGGTCCTCACCCAGGATAATTTTTGTATTCCTGTGGTCAAATGCTAATTGCAAACCTCTCCAGGTGGAGGAGAGGCTTGTCAGGGATGCAGGGAATGTGGAGGTAACCTCACTCTCCTGGCTTCATCCACTGGTTTTCACTGTATTTTCACATTTTAGGCAGAAAGTTCTTACCCAGGCATTCCTATCTAATCACAGGATGGTTGACTGAGCTTTCCTTTCATGGTTCATGGCCTATACCGGCAATTTCCTTTCTGATAGAAGGATATAAGGGCAAGGAAATAGAGAGTCAAAATGAGTTGTCATGAAAGAATTGCCACCAGACCTTGCAGGTGAGGGACTTGGGATGCTCCATATTCTAAGGCAGGTTTCAGCACTATGCCTGAATGTGAATCCATGTCACAAGACTGCTTTTGTCTTTCAGATGTCGGGCACAGCAAGACATGACCGAGACATGGTAATACAGGCTAAAAGAAGCCTGTTGGGAGCTACTGACCCAGTCGAAAAGCTGCGATTGTTGTGTTTAGCGAGGGGATCTGCTGGCATCAAAGGACTTGGAAGGTGAGTCTAAGAAGTCAAATCCATTATTCAGCCTAATAGTTTCAGCTGCAAGAGGCTCACAGGCTTAACAGGGACCAAAATTTGAGTTTCCTGGTTCCAATGCAAACGCCACAACTTACAGCCTGGCCTCGGGGCTCATGTGTTCTGGGCCACAGGACTGGCCTGCTTGCCCGTTGAAGGGATGAGTGGTGTGAATCTCTCATGGGAAGATGATCCTGTGAGACCCAGAACAACTCCTGTCAGGGAGAGAAGGGAAGCTTAAGACACATATCTCTGTTTGGTGTTTTTGAAAATTAATTTAAGTATCTCAGTACAGGGGATTTTATGCTTCTTTTCTTTCAGATGTGATTCCCTTTGATATAATGGTCTGTGTAATGGTCTGTGTAGTTTGTGGGAGGTACCTAGACTCCTTTTGCACCTCAGTCCTAGGAAAGGGGAGCTTTCCGTGAAAGGGGAGCTTTCACACCTTGAAACCCCTCACAGGCCCTATAAACCACAAAGGGATCCAGGTGGTGACCAACTGGAACTTCATCTAAATGCCCAACTTGCCGAAGGCAGAGGGCTATAATGAACAGGAGGACCATGGCAGCCTTCCCCTCATTTACTTTCAGATGTGTCATAATCAGGCACCCAATAGAAACCAGTCACCTCTGCTGCCTATAACTGTGGAGGGTTTTGTTGGTTGGGGGTTTTATTCCTTTCCCCCCGCCCCCCATCAGAAGACTGAACAATGTTACCTAAGTAAAGTGACCCTGTGCTCCAGCACTGTGTTAAACCACTGCAGCATTCTCAATGTTTTCCTGCGCATTTTCCTCAAATGTCATGTTTCCTGCAGAGTATTTCGAATGATGGATGTTGAGAATAGCAGAACCCTTGATTTTGAAGAATTTATGAGGGGATTAAAAGTGTACGCGATCACACTTGACAAGGAAGAAGCACAAAAGGTTTTCCATATATTTGATAAAAATGGCAATGGAACAATTGACTTTGATGAATTTCTTGTTACACTGAGAGTAAGTCTGGAAATTTTTGTTAATACTGCATTAAATGGAGAAAAATATAGCGGAACAGAGCAGAACAAGATAGAATAGAATATTTGCAAATAAATGGTTGTGATTTTTTTTTGATGAATTGCAGCCTTGATTAAGTTACCTAAATTCCTATGTTATAATCTGAGTACCTATGTCGTTCAGCTCATTAATCTCACTTCTTTGTCCGTCATTTTATGATGCATCTCTTTATAACATGAACTAATCCAGGGGAGACTCTCTTTAGTCCACCATGCCGTGGTTGATTTTGGTTGGAGTCTCTTTGTTCTGATGAAGTCTAAACAATTAAGATAGAGTAATTAGTAATTTCTTGTTAGAAATATATAAAATGGGTGGAACAGGAAAGTATTCTATGTAGTATTTTCTCTCTTATTGTCCATTTACTATTGTACTGGTTGACACTGAATAGTCTCAATTACATTGCTTTTTTATGGTGATATATTGTCCTTTCTAGCTCATGGACAGTGTAGACTGCCAGCCATGCACCTCGAAATAGTTTTACTGCTAACAACAGCAGGTACTTGAATTTGGCAAGTAGTTGGCAGAAATAAAATGATTCTGTTAATATTTCCTTACAGCCTCCCATGTCGAATGCAAGGAAAGAAATAATAATGCAAGCATTTCAAAAATTAGATAAGACCGGAGATGGTGTCATAACAATCGAAGACTTACGAGAAGTATACAATCCAAAACACCATCCCAAATATTTAAATGGAGACTGGACAGAAGAACAAGTTTTTAGAGCCTTTCTGGATAATTTTGATTCACCCTATGACAAAGATGGGAAGGTAAGTAAAACACCTAATATCAAGCCATGAAATCACCATCTGACTCAACACTTGACTTATATTATTAAATGTACGAGTGATTGCAGTACCACGCATTTGCATCACATTTATATGGAAAAATAAAGTAGATGCATAGTGTGTGCATAGCACTGCTGGTACAGCTTGCTTGCACATTCTGAGGCAAAGGGGCTCTGCAGGAGGTACAAGAGATTACATTACTAGGCTTGTAACCTTCATGCTAAAGCATGCTGATTTTCAAGATCCACATGAATTGGAGGATTTTTTACTTCTTAGGAGAACAAATACTAGAACTCAGTTCAAAAGCAGTTTCCTTAATATGTTAAATACTTTACAGTTAGTTCTTCTCCATTAGTTCTTCTCAGACATTTGACTCAGAAATCTGTCCATAATAGAGATAGATTTATCTACAGAGAGTTGGAGGGAGGATGGAGTTGGGGGTGCTGCCACCAGCTGTGTGCCCTGAGGAGCCATGAGCTGGGGCAGAACTGCAAGCTCTTCCTGCCCTCTGCCTAAGCTCTCTGGTGCAGGTGCAAAGCCTGGGCAATTTTGGGATGGACTGCTTGTGCATATGCTTTGCAACCATCTCTGAGACAAGCTGTGGTGGTGGGAAATAGTTTTCCCCCCCTGAAGTTATAAAATGGTAAAACCCCAGGGGGTGGTGACCCTTGAAGTTTTGAGGTTTTACCCGGTGAGTGCTTTTGCAAAATATAAACATATCACAAGCAGAACAGAAGAGAAGGTGGTTGTAGTTGTTGTTGAAGAGGTAGCCATGTTGTGAAAGCCACGAGGAAGGGGCTCGGAGCCCCTTCGGGCCTCTGGGTCCCCCAGCCCCCAGCAGTGGGGCTACAGAGACTTGGAACAGTGTAAGACTGGGCTAAGTATCTGTAGCTAAGAGCTGGGGGATGTTTCTTCACTGTGAGCAGCAGCAGCATCAGCAGCAGAGGAACTGCACTGACCGAAGAAACAGTGGCAGAGAGCCAGAAGAGATAAGACCAAGCAACAGTGACAGGCATGCAGCAACACAGAGAGAACTCCTGGAAGGAGAGCTGAGAGAGAGCCAGCAGCAGAGAGAGAATTAGGCTCTACAGAGAGAAAGAGTAAGTTGGGGTAAGAACTGAAATAAAACCCCATACCCATCTGAGACCTCTGAGAAAGGAGGAGGATGATGAACTCTTACTTGAAAGAGTCTTGAATTGCTACAGCACTGCAGAAAGGAGCTGTAAAGCTCAGAAGGAATTCAGAGGGGGTGACCTTGGCCCCCCCGCTGCTTGAGACAGAGCACAGAGCTCTGCAAAGGGGACTTGAATCCCCTGAAGATACGGACCGTCACAAAGACCCCCGTGCTTCATGGTATGACATGGTGATGCGACCTTTGTCCGGGTGAACGCAGCCCACGGAAGAGAAGACCCTCGCTTGAAGACGACAGGCCAGGGGGCTTGGATACCCCCTCGTGTGTACTGGCAGAGATCCAGCTACAGATGCTGCATGGAAGAGAGAGACAGAGAACCTGCTACCTTAGAGACATTGCTGCTCTGAGAGTGGAATGGGATCTTTTCCTTCTTCCCTCCTGGACTTTTATTTGGAAGGGAGAAGAGATTTGATCCATTGTAAATACTTTTATGTCATGGTAGAGATAGTTAAGATTGCATATAATGTATTGTAGTATTTATTTTGTACAGTCATTGTAATATATATTCCCTTTTCCCCATTTTGAGTCTTGTGTAGTGTCTGGAAAAAACCATCTCACATTGGGTTGAGATGTGGGAGGGGGCTTGGACTAGGGAATTGGATTTTGGAGCTCTCAAACCATGACACAAGCCTGCTCTGTTTCCCCTTGTTCTGTGCCTGTAAACTCCTTTTGACTGACCTTAATGCTGGATCTCCATGGTTCACATGGTAATGTTCTCAGTCTGAACAGTTAATAATACCAAACTGGGTAAGGTTTTATCGGTGCTTTGTGGAACATCTTTAACACTTTCCACTCTTGAGGCTGCACCTGTGTGTTCATGCCTGCATTACACTGATGACTTCTACCTGTCTAGTGGCTGGCTACTATACCCAAATCCTTCACTTGCTCTGCTTCCAACACCCAGGCTCTCATTTGTAGAGAGGTAATGGATTTTATTTTCCTTTGGCATGACTTTGCACTTAATAGAGCTGAATTTCATCCCTTATGCTGTTGTGTCATCCTTGGAGCTACTAGTTTTGGGCCAGCTGTCCCCTTCCTTCTCTACAACAGTGGTGATATCTAACAAATCTCAAACAAAAGGTTCCTGCTTTTTGTGCTGAGGTCATCCAGGAACACATTAAATCAATCTCCAAAGTGATCCTTGATGTGTTCAGTGCCTTGTTTTGCTGAGCACCCACCTCTTGTTCAGCAAGCCTGATGTTAGTTCACCTGACTGCTGTTTCTTCTGAGAACTAACTGTGGCTTTCCTGTGCTTGAATCAGAAGACACTAATGATACTGAATACCTAAAATGTTTTTAACAGAAATTCCTCAAGGTAAAGCAATTGCTAAAAAGGTCCTTTTCACTGTGATCTCATGGGGTCCCTCTGAAATAGGTAGGGTCAGCAAGGCTTGTAATCAGTTCATGATGGTAGGACAGTCTATAGTGATCACTTCTCCCTATTGTCATGTTTTACTTAGCTCTCAAACACACAATGCAATCAGAGTAAATATCATAGATTCATAGAATATGATGAGTCAGAAGGGATCCATCAGGATCAGAGTCCAACTCCTGGCTCTGTGCACGACAGCTCAAGAATCCCACCATGTGCCTGAGAGTGTTGTCCAAACACTTCTTGAATTCTGTCAGGCTTGTGCTGTGACCACTTCCCCGGGGAGCCTGTTCCAGTGCCCAACCACCCTCTGGGTGAAGAATCTCTTCCTGATATCCAGCCTAAACCTCCCTGACTCAGCCTCAGGGCATTTCCTCAAGTCCTGTCACTGGTCACCACAGAGTGAAGAGATCAGGACCTGCCCCTCTGCTTACCCTTGTGAGGATGTTGTAGACTGCCATGAGATTTCTCCTCAGTTTCCTCTTCTACAGGCTGAGAACAAACTGAGTGACCTCAGCTGCTCCTCACAAGGCTTCCCCTCAAGGCCATTCACCATCCTCATGGCCCTCCTTTGTACCCTCTTTAATAACGTAATGCCTTTTTAATTGTTTTTTTTTTCTATGTGTTGTTGATTCAAAGAATGACCTACATGGTTCAAGAGTTAAGACATCATGAGAGACATGCACTGTTCATCTGCTAATTTTATCCTTATTTTTTGTAATGGTCATTTTAAAATGATTCCACCTCACAATACCTGTGAAAGATATTCAAAACCCTTAGGTATTTGAAAAAGTAATTACTTCATTAAGTGAGACTTGTTTAGAGCAATGATATTTTCTCTCTATGGGTAGATATAAAGTTCTGAATTGTCTCTGGATTGTATCAGAAACCCCATCCACCTTTATTAATAGTAACACAAAGAATCAGATCATATTGTCCCTGGAAAAAAGTACTTTAAAACATCTGTCTTCTTAGGCAACAGTGATTTTAACTTTAGTTCCTCGTAATGTTAGTGAACTTCACGTTTCATGTCCATCCAAGTGTTCTGTAGGACAAAAGCGTGTGTCTAGGAAAGAAGTGAACTTAAGCAATTTTTCTGTGTCTTTTTTGCCTCCTGTTTGATTCCTTTTTTGTTAGCAACAACACAAAATAGCAGATGTTCTGTTTCCTAAAGAAACACCTCCATGTGTGGTTTTGACTTATAGCATTAAAAGAAAATATTTGTTTTCCTATTTTAAATCTCTCTGTCTCAGGTCACAACGGAAGAATTCATGAACTACTATGCAGGAGTCAGCGCTTCAATTGATTCGGATATCTACTTTATCATCATGATGAAGACTGCTTGGAAACTCTGATAATATGGTTAAAGAAGCAAAACTTGACTTCCACCTTCAGTAGGTTTCTTTGATTAAGTGTATGCACAACAACACTCTCATGTTCCGTAACAACAGTTTTCAGTAACTATGCCAATTACTGTCAATCTGCAGAATTAATTCCCAGATGCTTCAGTAGGCTCAGCTTCAGGGGATTGGAGAATAATCAGAGAGCAGATCTGGCATCCAGCCACCCCGCACATCTGTCCCTTTTCTCCCTACATCCTGGCATGTCTTTTCTTTTCTCAGATGAGCTGCTCCTTTCTTTTCAGACATCTGCAGTAGGTCCCTGAGGCTCCTGAACATATCCCCTCCTCCAGTATTAGATACAGCTCTTTGACAAGAGGAGAAAACCAAAATATTCTGGAAGTGTGGTGGTCTTGCAGGAAAAATCCTTGCTTCCAGTTTAAGAAAACAGCAAAAATACCTGCTGGACAAGGAAAATTACAGCAAGAAGTTCTTTATTGTAGCGCTGGGTGCAATCCTAAGTCACATGGGCCTGGAAAGCACACCACCATTTGAAAAACGTGCCTTTTTGTATTCTCTTGGTTAGAGAAGCTGTTACATGTTCAGTAGGTGTCAGGTATTTTACCTTAAAAGGTAATTTTTCGGACTCAGGAGGGGGTGTTACCCTCCCTCTTGATTGATTTGTGACATACCCTCCCCGTACATTGTACAGGGGGGTCTCTCTGCACACAAAGGCCGTCCACGTGGCTGTGAGTACATTTTTATTTTTATACTTTTCCCTATTCCCGGCCACAAAGTTTCCCTGGCGTCAGGTCCAGACAGGACCTTCCACCTTACCGTTTTCATGATACACCTAAAAAAACCTTGGAATTAAATGAAAGAAAAGAAAATCCCACCCCCTTCTGTTTTCCACTAAATTCATTTTGCTTATAATAAAACCAGATTATTTATTTCTCATAATCCCCCCTTTTTCTCTTTATTCATGGTTTTATTATAAGTCTTTTACGTTAACTGTCTCTGGGTCTTTCCAGTCCATTCCCACTTGGTAATACATCTTGTGCTTCATCCATTCTTTCCGTTTGCTTGGTAAGTTCCCACTCAAGTAATGCATTCTGCGCCTTTTCCATGTCTTTAGTTTGCTTGGGGGCCAGCTGCAAGATCATGATTTTTTGGATTCCCAGGCCTCTGATTGTAGTGGTCTTTGGATCCACTGGCATGGCAGTTAATTGCATTCCTTGGACAACACTAGAAATTAATATCATAAAACATGAGATTAGACAGGGTAGAAACAATAATCCAGAGATAGCACATAATGAGAAAAACCCCACTTGCTTCCAGCATGCCCCTCTGAATAAGTTAGTCCACCACTCTCCATCTACTATGGAATTCCATTTTTGGACTGGTACATGGGCTATTTTCTGGATGTTGGAGGCTATTTCCATTACGGCTTCATAATTATCATAAATTTGTAAACAGCAGTCTGAGGTGTTAAATTGTCCACAGACTTCTCCATCTTCTGCTAAAAGATAGTCTAGGGCTAATATGTTTTGGTATATGGCTGCTCTGCTCTGACACTGTTGTTCGGCTATTAATTCTAACCCCCCTGCAGTCTGATATATGACTATTGCAACTACAGTTTGTAGCCATATGATTCGATTGAGCATATAAATAGGTGTAAAATAACCCCATGTCTCATCCTGTGCCCATGTAGCTGGTCCATAATAATCAATAATTCTCTCAGGAGGCCACTCCTCCTCTCCTCATTTTTGGGTTCCTCCTATTGAGTATCCCTTAATCTTGATATAGGGTATTTTCTCTTTAATTTGTCTTTTTTCTCGGTTAAGGGAGTCGTATAACAGGACTCCTAATTTGTCCCCGCTTTCTAAGGGTAGTAGGAAAAATCCAGGCAAAATTATTCCTATGGCACAGCAGCCTTTCCAATTTTCTGGTAAGATTGTGTATGCTCTTTTTCCACAAATCCAAAAGAGCTCATTGGATGCCTTCCAAAAGTTTTTGGACATGTTATCAACGTTGTCCCAAAATTTCAATATTTCTTTTATTCCGGAAAAAGGGTTTATTTTGGTTTTGTTACATTGGTAGAGTTTCTGGTTTACATCCCACTCACAGCTGGACTTCTTTTTCTTGATCAATAGTCAGTTGGGGCTTGTGGAAAATACTCACTGTGAGTGAAGTTAGTCTTTAGACTTCGTTTGCACGGGGTTTCCCCAACTGGATGTACAAAATTAGTTCCTGTTCTCCGTATACAATCCCTTCCTATCACTGTGGAGCTGAATATCCACCCTTCTGGCCTATTTGCTTTATTATGAGAGAATGTATAAGTTCCCTTGAGTATCTCTCGAGCATCTAGGCTAAAACCTCTCCAGGGCCATTCTTCTGCCATTAAAGGTCCCCCACAAACCAAACAGTGATTCACTCTTAACCCTTTAGCAATTTTCTCTGCTAGATGAACAAATTCTTTCCCACTGCAGGGAGTTCAAAATCTCTGTTCTCCTCTCTTGTTAGTTCAGAATATAAATCATTCAACTGTGACAGTAGTAGGTGATCTTTAGATGTTTTTTGTTTGGAATCTGTGATGATTTCTTCTATTATTAGGTCAGGGACTCCTGACTCACTGATGATGTCCCAACAAATCCATGCCTCACCCACGGGGCAGTATGATCCTAATCGTGCTCCTTCTGACCCTAAATTCTTTGCCACTCCATAGCGCCTGTTACCTACTACACAGGTTTCCAATTCTTTCTTATCGTAACAAGCTTTGTTCACGTTTTCATATGCCATAAAGGTGGTTACGACACCTGTCTCATAGTACGCATTTTGGTAACACTTCTGGCAGTGTTCATCTTCTTGTTCTAGTGTTTGTTTATTCATTTCTTTAATGGTAGCCACCATTATTTCGATCTTATTTCTCTGTCTTTCCTCATCCCTTCGGGCATGCACCTTTTGAGCTTCTTTCAACAACTCGTTCAACCCTTTTTCATTCCAATCCTCTATCTTTTCTAATTTCTTCCTAATATCTGGCCAAGAATGAGTTACAAAACAAACTTTTAATAATTCTTGTCCTGCTCGACTGTCTAACCGTATTCCTGAATATTGTTGTATATTTCTCTTCAGTATTTTCCACCATTCTGATGGTGACTCATCTTTATTTTGCTTTTCATCAAAAGTTTTGACTGTGTTTTGCCCCCGAGGGACCACTTCTTTAATTCCTTTAATGATACAATTACAATAATCGATCATATTTTGACTTCTTTGTCCAGCAGGTATTTTTGCCGTTTTCTTAAATTGGAAGCAAGGATTTTTCCTGCAGTCTTGGGCAGGCTGTTATAAATCTGCCCCAGGAAGTCTGTCCCAAGAGGGTCACATAGCCCTTTCACCTGTAGCATTGCAGGCTCCTGTAGCTCTTGGCTCCTTGAGGAATGCAGCAGCTGCTTATCTCTCTCCTGGGAACATTTGAGTTCCCAGTGCTGGGAGGCTGAAGGGAGAAACAAATCAAGAAGGGGAGACATGGACCAGAACTGCAAAATGTTCTTTAAGACCCTGTTTTCTCCCTGACTCACAACTAAACATGCAGGCATCTTTCCTCTGCATGCTTTTTTTCAAACCCCTGTGGGCCTGTTTATAGATTTCCACTTGCCTTCCCCTGCTTTGATTCCTTTATTTTTGTACTGTGAGATCATTTAACTAATATTTTTCTTAAAGGGGATAAATGTGTTACAGTATTTTTTTCTCTATGTTCTTGGAACATTTGCTGGCTTAGTAACTGTTGTCTGTACATACCTATACTGAAAGTTGCTTACTACTTTTTCGTATTTACAGGGGTTTATGACCAAGCTGTGACTTCTGGGAAGTATAGAGCTTGTAACTTGTCCACCAGATGAAAATTCTCGAGATATCTTTGCTTTTCAGTTCTTTTTCTGATGCTGAATAAAGATTGGAAACCTGTCTTTGTAGTCACACCAATGAAGCTATCTTGGTTTGTCTTTTGTCCTTTGCCCATACAGTGAGGAAATCATGGCTGGGCTTCACGAACGAAGATTAGGGAAAGGTCTCTACCCATGTTTGTTACAAGTGCGCTGGTGTCTAAAAAGGCCAATATGAGATAGGCATGTCTGGTTGCAAAAGGCACAGCAGAAGGACTCCTTAGGTGATAAATTCTGCAAGGCACGATTCTTTCTGCATTGTCTGTTCACCTCGAGAGTGATGCTGCGTGCTTTCTCAAAGGCATCAGCAGCGTTACAGATAGTGTGTCTCCAGACCTCCCAGTTGGAGGCCAGAGTAGACCAGTTATGGTGATCAATCTGGCCAAGGCTGAGATGTTGTTTCAGGGAGTCCTTGTATCTTCTCTTCGAGGCTCCTCTCTTGCGACAGCCAGTGGCAAGTTCACCATAAAGCAAGATCTTAGGGAGGCGGTGGTCCTTCATCCTTGAGACGTGCCCTGCCCAGCACAGCTGTGTTCTCAGTAACATGGCCTCAATACTTGTGACTGCTGCTTGTTCAAGAACAGATGTATTGGTCACATAATCTGACCAGTGGATGTTTAGGATTGTACGGAGACAGTGATGATGGAAGTGTTCTAGGAGTCGCAGGTGGTGGCGGTAGTTGACCCATGATTCAGATCCGTATAAGAGAGTAGACAGCACTGTGGCTTTGTAAACACTGATCTTTGTACTTTTCTTCAACATGTCTATCTTGTATTGGCCTTATTAGCCACCAGCATGCTTGTAACAAATGTGGATAGAGCCTTCCCAAATCTTCCTTCGCGAAGCCCAGCCATGATGACTTTTCTTCAAGTGTTTATTTTGCCAAACTCTTTTATGGAGTTTTCCGAAAGCACTATATGCCTTTGCTAACCTGTTGTCTATCTCTCCGTCGATCTTACCATCCGAGGAGATGAGGCTACCGAGGTAATTAAACTGCTGGACTGATTTGAAATGGTGTACATGGGAATGGTACACAATGGTGCAATGGGGAAATGGTGCACAAAGAAAACTGTTATAAAACAAACAAATAAACAAAAAGAACACTCTGTGTGTGTGCTGTCTAATTATCCCTGCTTTAGTTCTGTTTTTGTTCTACTTTCTGCTTCTCTCTTGTCGTTTGCTGCTCTCCCAGACTGAGAAGCTGCTTCTGTAGCAAAGAGTAACTGGCTTGTGCATGGCAGCATTTGCTCCATTTCAGGTTGGCAGCCAGCTAAAAGCAGTACAGCGTTATAGACCAGACTTTCAAAAGAGCCTTTCTGATGAAGTCTCAGTCTTACTTGGTCTGGGTTGCTAACAGTTCAAACACTGAAGTCCTGAGTGCTTGCTGCAGTGATCCTGTGCAAACCCTGTTTTTGTTTTGTCCCATCATGATCCAGTATAAGCAATAGCTGCTTGAAATTCCTTAGGGAAGGCTGTGCAAATTCAATTATTTTCTTTGACCTGTAAGCCTCCAGAAACTTGCATACTGGCTGACACTGGAAGCTGGTAGAAAAATTCTCCTTATGATTGCCATCAATCATAAGAGGAGCCTTTACTTGCAGCAATGCTGCTGAAGTGCCAAATACATAAAAAACAAACTTACTATCAAATAGGAGCTGTACATGTTTTGGCAGCTTCAGTAGAATCCATTCATTTCTCTTTTATTAATTGATTTTACAACATGCTGTCGTGCTATCTGTCTTCTCTTTCAAATAAAAAGAAAGTATTGTGGATGGACTGTGGGAATCACAAAATGAAAAAAACATTTCCTTTTGACTTGCTATCTCATGTCTTCAGACCCCACAGCGATCTGACATGCTGATATTTAATCAAGTGCAGTTGAAGTTTTAATCTGACTAACTGTAACCAGTTTGTCTTTGATTACTAATACCTTCCAATTTTACTTAATCCCACCAAAATATATATTTTCAGAAAGGAGGAGTAGTACCTAAAGCAACTATTCTTTTTTAAAACCAGCAGAAGCTTTGTCACTGGCCTCTGGGAGTCTTAGCTGAGCCTTTGGTGGCTGGGGAAAGCCAGTGCTGGGGAAAGTGCTGGGGAAAGCCAGTGCTTCAGGACAAGATCTCTACTCTGAGCTTGACTAAAAGGGTTTGTGTGGGGATCTGAAGGACATGAGCCAGGAGAGCTCAAACCCCCTCATCCTGGTGGTGTATCCCTGGCGCTCTCAGAGCAGTTCCCAGCTCCTCAGGTCTGCCTGTGCATGGACCTCATCACTCACTGGGTACATTTCTCAGCATAAGAACATTGTTCACAGACAAGGCATTTCAACATTTGTACAGAACCATGTTTCCAAGGGCTGATTTCAGATTCCTTAGAAGTCAGTGGCAAAGTTTCCTTTGCCTTCTGTAGGAACAGAGTTGCTCTTGGAGCAGTCTGAATAAAAACTGGTAACTGCAGAATAGGCATAGTGTTTCCAGGAGAAAAATTAATAATCTGGGAAGGAGTAACATGATTTTTCACTCTTAATCAGATGCTGTCGAAAACAAATTGGAATCTGTCCTGTACGAAATGTAATTTGATTTATACGTGTACAAATTCATGGAACAAACACAGGCATTGCATCAACTGCTAGGTAAGAAAATCTCTCCTGGGAGACATACAACCATAACGACACATTGAGCAAACACACTGGAGTTTCAAAGGAAGCACTTTTCAGGGCTTAATGGCAGGTTAAAGGGATTTTAAGCAGACATGAAGGATTATCTGGGCTAACAGCAAGTGCCCTTCAGAACCATCCTTTAGCACTTCACTGTCCCTGTCTGCAATCGGGGAGAGCCAAAAATGAAGCTGAAATGCCTGTGCTCATCTGCAGGCTGCTGTATGCTGGCTACAGACCCACCAGATGCAGGAGATAGGTGGAGATGCAGGCTGTCCTGCCAGCCTGTGGCTGCACAGCACACACAGCAGATTTTGGGAGATAGGTGGCAATGCACACCATCATATCTAGTGCTAGCATCAAGATTGTAGATCTTAGTTGGTGTTTCATGTTTGAAGCAGTGTTTCTTCTTTCTGATTGTGCAACAGATGCTAAACAGGATGGCACAAACCATAGGAGCATCTGAGTCTGCGGGGCTGTGGGGCAGTCCCAGAGGCAGAGGTTTCACCTGCACCTTGAGCTCCAGCCTGCCCCCGTGGCACAGTGCCTTGACAGGGATAAATTCTGCCCTCCTCACCAGGCAGCACCACAGCTTGCTCCAAAATTGCTGGTAGAGCCCTGAGGAAAAGGGGGAAAAGGCACCCTTATAACTCCCCTAAAACTCTGCCCCAACTCCCTGCCTCTGCCTGAGCCATCAGAGCATCTCTGTGACAACATCTGACCACCCCAAAAGAACACAAGGATTGAGGGCAAAAAGGTGTGGAACAGCCTTTTCTTCTGGTGTGTTTCCCCGCGAAAGGTGGCACTTCTGCAGCATGCTTCATTGCATTTTGATTTTGCTCTTTTTGTGCTATTAGTGGCTTTGTGTTTTTGTCCTGGAGAGGAAATTTTTGGGGTGATATGGTACAGAATTGTTGTTTGGTTTATACTGTCTCCCGCAGCATAAAATTCTGCTTCAAGAAGCTGAGTTTAATGCAAGCCCCACTCTCTGCCGTATATTCTTAAAACTAGAGCACAAGATATATTCAGTTATCTGATTCATTTTGCTGCCCTCCTGACATAAAGCTCCTGGCAGAAGCAGATAGAAGCGGCTGAAGTTTTGCAGATGAAACCACCTGTGCACACTGCTGTACAAAAGCCTTTACGTAACTCCTTCTACACAATGCCTTCTCAAACCTCTGCAGATGGGTGGGCAGAGCAATTTTGCCATTCCAGAGCTGGGCTCATGGCCTCCCTTGTCAGCAGCTGGCAGAAGGAGCGAGACCAGTGCTTTCAGGGATTCTTGCCTTCCAGCTCCTGTCCTGCCCACTGGGAGCAGCAGCAGCAACAGCAGCAGCACACTCAGCTTTCCCCAGTAAAACAGATAATGCCGAGAGCAGCCCGCCACTGTCAGCAGCTGCCCACTGCCCGTGGCTTTTGCTGTGATTACAGCCCACTCTGTTTCTCCAGCAATCCTCTCTCGCAGGAGCACAGGGTGAGCAGAAAGCAGGTTTCCCAGTAGATTGTACCTAACACCAGCCCCTCGGGCAGCTCAGAGCAGCCTCACTACTCGCAGCAGCCCCTCGACCATCCTGGTTTGCCTCAGCCAGGTTTGAAATCTCCATGATTCCGAAGTGAGCACTGGTTTTGGCTCCAGAGGCGTTTCCACTCTCACGCTAACGGCGACTGCAGGAGGAGGGAGCGCTATAGGACACAAGGTCTTCAGCTCCCTGGTCTGCAGACACCTCAGACACGGCAGCCCCGTCTCTGCCAAAACCTGGATGCAGGTTTCTTCCCAGCTCACAACACTGCTGCTGATCCCAACAGGAGCTGCAGCTGAAGCCTGGGGACAGCATCCAGGCTTTTTGAATGTCTTGACAAGTAGGAAAAAATGAGAAAGAAAGGAAGCACAAGGTATTGTGGAAGTTAAATTGAACCTGTTTTTCTGTGGAAAAGCAGCGGTTGTGGTAAAATGTGAGAAGTGTTTATTTTCCAGAGATGAATCTCTTCTTTTTCGTTGAAAGCATAGGGTTTCTGCCAAAAGCTGAAATACATTTTTTTAAAATTTCGAAATGTACAGATTAGGTTTTTTTTGTTTGTTTGTTTGTTTGTTTTTTAGCTTCTGTACGTTTCCTGGAAAACCAAATACTAGCTTGTGTTAGAGAAGCTCCAACTTTGTGGCAGAGATTTTTTCCTTTAGACATTTCCATCAAGGCATTTCTGCTTTGTGTCTCATTTTTTTGTTGTCTGACAGACCTCTGAGGCTTTTTACGTTCGTTGTGATGGTGCTGATGTTGGACAAATCTAATTTCACTGTGACATCTAATTTATGCAGTCAATATTTAACAATAACCGGAATAACTCTTCTTATATTATTTTTTTTAGGAC